CTCTCTCACTCTCTCACTCTCTCACTCTCTCTTTCTCTCCCTTACTGCAGATTTTAAAAAGTTCATGAAGTTGCATCTCTCCTTATAGAAGAACTCCAGCACCATCATAGATTTAATCTTTTGCTGTCATTGAACTTGGGAAGCAGTTAGATAAAAAATTTACACTTTTTTTCCCAAGTGGAATGAAAAAGGGACACTCATAATTAAACCACTACCACCTTTTAAAATTCATTTCTTTGTTAAAGAATTAAATTCTTTGTTAAAATTAAATTTATTCTTTAACATGTGTGCTACAGTCTTCCATGTTTTTATTTAACTCTGGAGTATGGAGCTCAACTGCTCTCTCCTTGCAGACCTGAGTTTTTTGTGTCAGTTCTGGAATGGGAGGCAGGTCACAGGGAACATTTATTTGGTGACAGTGTTTTTTGTTTTTTTGTTTTAAGAAATCTTTTTTGTTTATTGACATCAAATGATTTTAACATCCTGAAATTCTGTGCTTGAAGTTATAAAATAGTCGTTCAATGAATTTTTGTCTTCTGGATATTTAACATTGTTCTTTTGTCATTTATGAAGTAAATTAATTTGTATCAAACTTAAAGAAGAAATCTTCCAGGTAAGAAGTAGTTGAGAATAACACATTTAAAAAAAAAATCTCAAGTAGGCTACTATACTGTAATAAGTATTTGTTGAGAAGATAATCTTCATGTGAGAGAATATTTTGAAAATCACTAGGAAAGAATCATTTTAGAATGGAAACATGCATCATTTACCTTACTCTACATTGTGAAAGTGTTCCTAACATTCACGTTACATTGGACCTTAAATTTTTATGACAGTTTTTCTCTATGGGAAACTAATACACAGATGTTACACAAATAGAAGCATAGTACTGAACTAAAGAAAAGAATGTTTTTCGCTTTTTGTGATATTACCTAGTAAAATAGCTAACAATTTTATCCAAGAAAAAAACCTCAAAAACTCAATCAGCACTCACTGCCTAGTGATTTCTGCTTAGTACACTAGCTAGAAAAGAAATATTGTGATTTTTACCAAAAACAGGTAACCTGGGGAGAGAAATTACATCCGGATTAGACTAGGGAAAAGGCCACAAGGTCCCATTAGGCTTCTAGTCTATTCACTGATCTCTTTAAGGACACTTCTATCCTTTAGATTAAAGGACGGGTTCCAGAGGACACCAGCACATCTGGGCAAGGAGAGGGGGGGTTTTTTTGCTGAAAGCAGAGCCAGTAAAAAGAGTAGGAGCATGATGACCAGTTTTTATCTAAGGTACATCAGGATAACCAGAGGCTATTTCCTACTTTGCTGCTCCTTTTAACTAAATAAGTTGGGATTGCCCTAATGAATTTCCAAGGCTTTCAGAATTTGTCAGAATTTATAACCTAATGTAAGACACCTAACATTGAGAACTCACCATTCTGTGGGATGCTGACCTCCTTTTGTCAGTTATTTTCACATCAGATCTACCCAGGGACAGAAATACCACTCTGCTTTCTCCTGATAGCACCAAATTAAGGCGATACTGGGTGCAAAATAAATGCAGAATTAAGCCCATTTCTATAGCGTAGAAAAATGTCTTTTGTGGATATCTTTTCTATAAACACATGATTTTATCGTGTTATCTGTGTTTTATAACTGTTACTACACATGCATTTATATAGTTAAGTCATATCTCTATGACTTGTGTCTATGACTCACTTGGTGGTTTTACCTTAAGTGGAATGACTATTTCAGAAAACGTTGCTAGAAAGCAGATGTCCTGGAAAGCGAAGGCTTTCCTGACACCTTCAGTATGAAATGAAACAGAAAGGAGTGTTTGTTGAATATCTGTTGTATGACAGGCACTGCACTAACTGACATTTCATTTCTACGTATAGGGGCCCTTCCGGGGGTGTTCCTTTGGACGGGGGATGGGGGAAGGAAGGGAAGAGCTCAAATGATTGCACCTGCTGTGCTCCCACAGTCATCAGTCTGGTCATCCAGTACACCAGTCAAAAGGTGGAGATCTTGCTCATGTTTCTGGTACAACTTTCCCTCCAGCTTGCCTGCCTTGCCGCTCTAGAATATCTCTGTTCAGGCACCTCTTAATTACATATTTTATATTTGCTCTTCTGGAACTTCTTCCTTCAGCCTCCTTTGGTGTTTACATGCTTGTTATTATTCAGCTGTAAGTCATATTTTGTTTGTAGGTGTCATATTTATGCAATATGTTTTAGTCTTCCTTGTTTTTTTTAACGTACAGGCTTCAGATAATACAAGGAATGTAGTTTCATATGCAGAATTCAGTCTATAAAATTTAAATAGCAAACTATTTATAAAGGCCTTGGGAAGGCAATTAATCTCTTAAGTCCCCTAGTGAAGTAAGTTGTAAAATTGTAAAACTCACCCCCCAACCCTAAACCGTAGTTCAGCAGAATGTGGGTTTTGCAGTCAGTACTGGGTGAGTTTGTGGTCACTTCCGGTTCAAGAGACGTTAAGGCCTCTCCAGGTGGATCAGACCATTAGGTCAGCCATAGGATCTTTAGATGGGTGATACCTCTCATCAATTAGAATCATACAGTGTTCGTCTCGTTGTGTCTGGTTTATTTCATTTAGCATGATATTTTCAGGGTTTATCCACATTGTGGTGCGTATCAGAATTTCATTCCTTTCCAGTGCTGAACAGTGTTCCATTGTATGGACATACCACGTTTGGTTTATCCACTCATCTGTTATGGCCACTTGCATCATTTTCACCTTTTGGCTATTGTAAATGATTTTGCAATGAACATTCATATACAAGTGTTTGCTTGCGTCCTTGTTTTTATTTCTACCTAGGAGTGGAATTGCAGGATCGGGTAGTAATTCTATGTTTAACTTTTTGAGGAATCCAAAGGATTGGGTTTGAATTGGGTTAATTTAAAAGATCCATAGAGCAAGGTGCCATCTCATTGGGAAATCCCACTCATGGGGTTAGTGTTTTGTTAATAGACCTGTAAGTGATCCATTGGCCTCTAATTCATGCCATTTACTCTCGTAAATAAAGCACTTATTGAACTCCTGTTATGTCACAGGCCCTATTTTGGAATAGTTTAGAGACAGCTTAGTGCAGGACACTTACTTTACATTGCAAAAGTGCTATGACTAGGAGAGCACTCACATGAGGGAGCCTATTGGAAAGTGGAGTGGAGAAAGTCTTTCCCAGAAGACATGGCACCTGACTGAGTCTTCATGTAGGCGTAGGAACCTAGCTTGTTGAAGAAGGGATGAAAGAGAATTGTAGAGAGTATAATGGAGAAAGTAGTCAAAGCGTCAATCAGAAAGGACTCTGTAAGTCATATGAAAAATTTATGTTTCATTCTGAGGGTAATACAGAGATATTAAGTGATTTTTAATAAAGAAATGATGTAATAAAAATATGCTTTATAAGTCTAGGTTGTTATGCAAATCACAGTAATCCCTGTTGAGAGGCTGTATCATGGCAATGGGAATGGAGAAGATGGAATGGATTCAGAAAGTATTTAGGATGTAGAATCATTAGGACTGATTGGCTAATGTAGGTGACAAGGAAAAAAGAAGAATGCAGGATGACTTCTGGATCTCTTGAGTTGGAAAACCAGTTGAATAGTCCCATTTATTGAGATAGAAAATTCAAGAAAGAGAGAGCCTTAGTTTGGAAGGAGGTGAGACAAAGCAAGATGAAGGATGAGCCAGTTCTGTTCTGAACTTAAGATGCCTATAAAATAGAAAATATCCAAGTGGAGATATGTCTTAAGTGGAGCTTAGGAGAGAAATAGGAGTTCAGGTAGATATTTGGGTTGTCAGGAATGATAATTGAGGGCATGAGAAATGGAGAGAATACAAGATGAAAATGTCACTTTGGGCCAGGTACAGGACAGGAGCTTATAAAAGCGACAGAAGGAATGGCCAAGAGGAATGAGTGGACAACCAAAGAGTGGGGACTCATGGAAGCCTAGAGTGGAGGCTCAGAAAGCCAGATTTTTACACACACAAAAATAAATCAACTCATGTCCCTAGGCAGTGATATTCAAACTGTGTTCTGTTGAGATCCTTCATTAATGTTTGATTTTAAAATACATTTTAACTTAAAAAATTAAAACCAACAAAATCAAATACACTGTTCATGACATTTCAAACATTGAAATTTAGCAATCAGTACCAGGTTAACTGTTTTTGTGTAGATGCCAGAATGAGGCCACCTCTGGTAAATTGAAGAGCATGCTGGTATTTCAAGGTGAGCAATTAAAGAAGTGTTACTATTTCTTAGTGTGAATTAGGGCTTTCTCAATACCATGCAACTGAAACAAAATACAGAGATGGGGTCTAATAAGATAACTGCTGTGTTCTATAAACCTTCTCAAATGTTTAGGAAAGTGACATCATTTTTCTTATTGACTTGTTGATGAAATTTAATGTGACATACCATTCTTTCTGTTAATATATTGGACTTCCATGTAACTGTTATTTCTAAAAGGTTGCAGGGGTGGGGGGCTACAGACAAAAGGAAGTTGCCACTTTCCTAGAAGAACTTAGCTTATTATCTTTCTGTGGCTCACCCGCCTCTCCTCCAAGTCAAGTACTATTATTATACATGTGTCTTTTAAAATGTGTTACTTCAATACTGAATTCACCACCAGGACCAGGTGATTTTGTGTTTGCATTGCTATAGAAAGTTTAGAGAGTTGACATTTCTGTTATCTTAAATGGTCTCTACTCTTTATATTAATTCATAAATAGGTAACTGTATGCAAATTATCTCTTGTAGAAAAGATCTCAAACAACAACAACATACTCCTTGTATTTGGTATAAGACTGCTGTATGGTATTTGACTTTTATTTCTAGTTTAAGTTAAAATTAGCTTGGATTCCTTGAGTAGACATGACTTGCACTACTTGGGCAAATTAGAGCATGTTAGATATTCCAGGAAGAAAAGGAGCTACTGGTTTTCAAATTTGGCTCCAAATAATCTATAAAATTTACAAATCACTTGTGAATTGTCAAATAAACTCTAACTTTTAAACCACCTTTGTTCATATTTTTCTATTTAGCGATTAACCTTGGTCTCATTTAGCAGAGCCTTTATTTAGAGTACATTCTGTGCATTAAAATCCCATGTTATATATGATAGTGTAAAACATAGAACTTCACAGTCTGTTATGGGCACACGGCCATCTCACAACAGTTCACAACAATGTCGTGACCTAACTGTTACTGTTACCCCCATTTTATAGATTTTGTAGAGTCTGAGATTCAGCAAGATTAAGTGATCGGCCAGTGAGAGCCAGAATGAGGACTGGAACCCAGGTCCTCGCCTGCTAACCCTGTGCCCTTCCCCTGCTAGGAACTGCAGACCTTTGTAAGACAGGTACAGGTACCAAAGTTTACAAATTCACAGTGTTTAACAACCTATCAATGAGTAAAATCGTTCTCCATTTCACAGTAGTATTGTCTCTTAATACATAGACTATTTATCTCCTTTTTCAGGAAAAAAACCCTTTATTTTAATGATGCAAGTGGTTCGTATGTGATTTCTTTTTGCAGATGTTTTTAATAGTACAGATAAAGCAAAAGTCACTCTTGATCTCTCAGTTCCATTCCTAGAAATTTCTACTATAATCTATTTAATATATGTCCTTTCAGCATTTTTATATGCATTTATATACAACATATGTTGATAGATGTATCTAGTTTGGGGGGTATGTAAATTCTGTATGGTATGTCTTGTTCTACAATTTGCTGTTTTTTACTTAATTTCTTTGGAAGATCTGTCCAAGTCGGTACATGTAGACCTACGTCACCCTTTTTAACGCCTTCAGAGTATTCAATTTTATTGATAGATCACAGTGTATTTAAGCATCTGGATATTTTTTCTTTCCTTTTTTATTCTGTCCCCTTCTGCCTGACCTGGAGGATACTTTGTTATGAATTAGGCATATTCGGGATCGATTAATACCCAGTTACCAAATTTCCCACAGTGCCTCTTATATCCCCAATCAGAATAAACTCTGGAGGAATAAATTTTCCTGAAGAACTCCAAAAAATGTTTTAACTGATCTTGATGAAAATCTTTCTAAATTATACTACAAGCAACACCTAGCAACATGCTTTGGACATAGCAGTGATTCACTAAATGTGTTGAGCGGCTGCCCATGCTGCCTGCCTTAGAAAAGAGAGGATGCCCAGTGTGAATTCTAACCTTGCTTAGTGACTTGGTCCACCAGCTGTTGTGCAGTGCCACCGTCTGAGGATGACTGGGGACTACCAGTGGTACATAGGACAAACCTAAAGTGCTGTGCTCTGTAGCCTTGAATGTGGGGAGGAAGCAGATAGGATTAAAAAGGAAAGGAGAACTAGGGAGACGCTGGAGCTGTGGTATCTCCGAGCAATGCCTCCCTTCTAAGCCAGAGCCTTTGGTCGCCTTAGTGCCGGCTTTCCTTCTGGTAGCATTGCCTAGCAGTTGGCTGCTAATTCAAACATTTCGTGAGCGCCTCCAATGTCACAAGGGACTGTGCTGACACTGGGAATGCAAAGATCTAAGACAGTCCCTACTCTCAAGAAACAGTCTCGTGAAGAAGGCATATGTGTTAAATAGGTGCAGTCAGACATAGGGTTTTAAAAGGAGTCATAGCTTCCAGTGAGTACAGAGGGAGTTAGTTGTCATTGTGGAGGTGGCATTTGAGCTGAGGTGTGAAAGATGACTAGATGTCTACTTTGAAGAGTCAGGTGATGGTCAGAGAGCCGGGTGGGAAAGAACGCAACACAAGAACTTTTTTTTTTTTTTTTAAATTTAGCTGAGCCATCCTGCCACCTTTTGGCAGCTCAGTGGCAGCTCAGCTCGGGCCAGGCATCGAACACAAGAACATTTTAAACAAAGCAAATCACTGGCCCCAGTATCAAGAATGAATTCAGGACTATGTGAGGTAATGGACGTGTTAATTAACTTTATTATGGTAATTTTGTAATATATACGTGTATCAAATCAACACGTTGGATACCT